TTTTTGTGAAGGGCCGACTCTGGATCTTCAAGTGGTGGTACCAAAAGTGTGTTTGAGCCTCTGGTCATGAACTCCTGCAAAATAAACAAAATAAAAACGTAAAACTGAACAAAAACTAAATAAAAATTTCCTACTGACTGGTCCCCATGACATGGTAAAGATTACCACCTCGTGTTGTTGCAAAAAAACTAATAGAAAAGAAAAATGAAGAAATACGAAAAACTACTAAATTCACGTCGTGAGCTTAAGGCTCACGTCGTGGATCAGAAACTGAAACAAAAACTAAAGCTGGAAAATTAACTTTTGCAGGTTTTACCCCACAAAAAGGATCGATCAATATATAGCAAATAAATCAACAATAAAATAAGCCGCTCCCTGACAACGGCGCCAAAAACTTTTATGCGTGCAAATAGCTACACCTAATTTTAATATTTATAACCTAACTACATTAACTAACTAAATTTCACCTAGGCAGTGTACCTACTCAAATTATAGAATAGTCGGGTAAGTCGGGTGTCGATCACAGGGAACGGTCTTAACTTATCAATTTATCTACTACTAAATTAACCTAGTTTTAACAAAGAAAGGGGTTTTATCTAATTTTGCAAGTTTAGATGAACTTAATTCTTAAACACAAACTTAATCAATAAACAAACACTTCTCTTGGTTCAAATCCACTTTCACTCAATGGGTAATAAATTAGCTATGACAAATACTATTGGTACCAATAAATAAAGAATTAGAAATTTAATTCCAAATTTACTAATATTCAATCAATTCATGTAAATCAATGCATACTCACACATTAGTTAACACGAAATTAATTATTTAATGGATTAGAGCTATGTAGTTTGATTTGCTAAACACAATTATATTCGTAATTGTATTTTCTAGCACAACCTAATTCAATTATTCAATTGCTTAACTAAGATTGGTTTGATCCTAGCTCTAATAATTTAATGATCACTAAATTACCAGGTATTATAATTCATGTAGATTAATAATCACTAAGTACACAGAATAAGAACTAAAAGCAATTAAATATCAAATCAAACATGTTAAGTAAAATCAATCAACATAAGTTTTTACTAACAAGTAAAATCAAATCTAAAATATTAAATCCATGAGTTCCTGCTTCATCTAGCTAACAGAAGCAGCTAGATTTAGCTGGACATTGTAGCAACTAAGAAAACAAAATCCATAATCAAAAATATGTTTAAATATACCAATCTATGAATCAAATTATGAACTTCTTCTTCCTTGGTGTTGGAAACCAATTCCAAACTTTTCCTTCTTCTGAAAGTCGTCTCCAGGAACCCTCCAAGGAAGCAAAAAGTCTTTCAAATCGTAATGATCTTAGGTTTATATAATTTTCTCGAAATTCGTGTTTCACGTCGTGAAAGGTATCTTCATGTCGTGACGGTGAAATCCTTATCGGGCAAGGATTTTACTTTGCGAACACTTATCGTCTCGAAGATTCGAGTCCACGTCGTGGCCTTCTATTTCATGTCGTGAATAGAGCTAAATCTGTGGGTTTCTTCTACTTTTGTACTCCAAGTCTCCAAAGTTCCATGTTTTGTCATTTTTGGTCCCCTTCTTCGAAAATGCTTCATTTTGGCTGCAAGATATAATTTAAGGTTATAATTACCAATATTCTATGCTAATAACCAAATTATTAATAAAAATATGATTAAATATTGCCTAAAAATATGTATAAATTTGGAAATATCAATTCCCCGTAAACTATGTGTATCGTTATTTCCCCTGTGTGAGTTATTATAACCATACAAATTGACATAGTAACCTGTTACGACCTTCTTCAGGCATCGGGATGTTATTATATTTGTCACCTCAGACCTACTAGTCTAGCTGTTGCATGCAGCTAAGGTGTAGGTTGTTAATCCTAATATAGATCTATATATAAGTATCATGCTCTCCCTACAACAGTCTCTGATTATAACTACAAGATTTTAACCAGTACTCTATGAGTATAATGAAGTAGTGTCTCACAACCGAATTTAATGAGTTTACATGTAGTGTAATTGAAAATCCTTTTTGTAGTAGGAATTTAACCTTCCTTAGTAAGTTCATAGAGTTGATGTAACATAAACTATACCTATTATAGCTTATCATGTATGTTTGTAGTAAATGAAAAACTCTTTTGTAGTGAAGACTGAACCTTTCATAGTGAATTGTAATGTAACGAAACATAAACTATACTTATTATAGTTTATCTTATATGTTTGTAGTGAATAAAAAACCTTATGATAAATGAGTATTTCTATTTCATAAATTTAACTTAACAGGAAACACAAGTCAATATGTAGTCATCCTTGATAAACACTTTGATCTACAAATTACAAAATGTTAGTAAACTTGTAAATTGTTTTTAACTAGTTTTAACTTTTATGTCATTGTCTTGTAAAACTCACTAGAAAAATCACCGGGATTCAAAAACTGAATTCGTAAACTATGGAAGTTCATAAAATGTATCTAGTATGCTCCCAATTTTTATTATCATTTTTAATGTTTTCTAACCGGTGTGAAAAGCGTCATCTTCACTAACTGGTCCGAAATCATTTCTATAGTGAAAGGTAGTTTTATAAAAATCACCATAAATTATAGAAAAATCATATGAACATGTGCAAGTAGTTATTTGAAAGGTATAAACATGAACTATTTGTATATTGAATAGTTTTGAAAAATATTGTATTAAGGAGGTCAAAACAATTCATGATTGGCCCCTAACTTTTCTGTTGTAAGCTGTTATTTGAGTTTGAGCTTGTTTTGGTGTTGTAACTTGTATTCTCCCCCATAAAATTAGAAGAAAACATGAAAAGATGGGTGTATGAACTCACCTTGAGTAATTTCCTGAGATGGATGGTTGAAGAAATGGGGTTCCCAAGTCAAGAACAATTGAAGAATGCTTAAAATTTTGAAGATCCTAAGAACAAATATGACAATATTTGTGTAAGAAGTCCATGATTTGAGTGAGGGAATGTAGAATATTTAAGAGTAATAATGAAGAACTTACCAAGGCTAAGGGAAGACGTTATGACCTGCTGGGAGTTTTGAGGTTCCAGATAGAAAAAAAGAGAAAGAGAGTGAGAGAGTGTTTGATTTTGGATAAGGCAAATAAGACTTTTGGGAAATGTGGAGAATATAGAGTTTTATGTGGATTTGATGTAAGAAAATTTGTTGGAGTGTTGGAAAGAGTAGAAAAAGGACAATGATTTGACTACGTAGAGTGTGAATAGTGACATAAAGTGGGTATGAGGATGTCTTGGTGTCATAACTTCTTAAAAAAGTCAACAAACTCATAGATAATATCCTGTACAAAATATACGATCTATAATAAGAATTTCCTCAAAATAGGAATAAAATATGATTTTATGGGTCTAATATGTCGAAATACAAGTTTGGATGAAAATCCCCCGTCAAAATCATAAAAAATAAGCTTAAAATGCGAAAGTGGTCAAAAACCGGAAAGGAAGTGCGAACCAACAAAGCTGAGGTTCACATGGGAGAGGGTTCGCTGGCCAGAGGAGGTTTGCTGCGAAGGTGGGGAGGAGAATGTGCAAAGGTGACGTTCGGTGCGAAGGCAATTCAAGGTGTGAAAGTAGCTTCAAGGAGAGGAGGTTCAGAACGAGAGGGCTTCTGATGCGAGTCTTGTCGGTGAGAAGAGAACGCGTCCGAGTGCTTGCGAACCAACCCGTTTTCATGCGAAACTGCTCAGCTTTCGCCTGAGAGAGTGTCAGGTGCGAAACCTCCCGAGTAGACCTACGAACTTCGATTCAACAGCTGGCAAGGAGAGGGATGCGAAGGCTTACGAGGGTTTGCAGGTGAACAGTACCCTGCGAACCCTCAGCTCTCTAATTGACTTCTTTCTTCTGTATCAAGCTGTTTTCGACTAAGGGAAGGTTCGGGATGGTACACATGATCATATAAACATTGGAAAATTTGATTTTCACTACCAAGAAGTATGAGAGAGATTTTTGAGAGAGGTTTGGGAGAGATAGAGATATAGTATGAGAGATTGAGAGCATCAAACATAAAAACAAATATGTCAAAAATACAATTTCACGAACATAAAAAGAAAATGTATGCATGTTGTCTACTACTTCAAACAAATTAAACACATGTAGCTACATCAATTGAATACCCAATTACATGCAAATTGAAAATCTTAGTTTCATGGATTAAAGAACAAGACCATATGTTACTCATGACATGATACGATCGGTTGGAATAGCCGATTACAACCACATGAACAGTAAGTAAAGAAAATAGAGTTTTAAATACCATTCTTTATTAATCAAAAATCAACTCCTAAAACTCAAAGGTGGCTAACCTATTTATAATTAAACTAAAACCCTAATATGACTCATAATTATGATTGAAATCATATAAATTAGGAGATTATATAAATATAAATATTTTATTAATAAAGGGCATAAAAATTCCTAATAAAGATAACCCTTAACCGAAAAAATTATAAAATAAAATAACCTTAATAAAATTAAATCATTGATTTATCTTTCAAATACCTTGCATCATCTTTCTCATAGTGAAAACAACTCATCATCGAGTGTACATCTCTCATCCATGGTTTCCAAAGGACAAACAACTTCCACACTTCAAAATGAATACGGATAAATCAAACAAGACAACATGCACGATTATAGTTTCCACTTACATATATTCCTACTGATTGTCTCATTTATGAGTTCTTGAGTAACTTTAGGAGGACAACCATATTTATAAAAAAAAGCATTATATTATAACACTCGTGCCGCTATTTAATTTTATTGAATTTCCCTTAAGAGTTATAATAAATATATAACTAATATTACAAAAAAAACTATTAATTATCTAACATCTATAGAAAGATGTATATTTTTCGCAAAGAACTAAAAACTATAATTTTAAAAACTTAAAATGCTAAGATCTTTGAAGGAGCGACCTAAGTTGACAAATTCTTTTAACTTGCATGAAATCACATGGGGGATGAGATCCTTCATCGAGGCCGATGGTAAGACTTATCTCGCTTTCATCCCATATAAAACTCAACATTTTGAATCCTTATCAGACCATATCGTAACCTAAATGTCCCCCAAATCGGTAAGTTGTGTTTTGTAGATAAGAGTGTACAGAGAAAGTAGAGAACCATGTGGAAGAGGGTAATCAAGTGGAAGGCAGTGGAACAAT